ACATAGTCCCCCTGCCAGTCTGCTCTGTCCTAGCCCCCAGCTCATTAAATGGCACCCCTCCAGTGTCTCCAGCGCCAACCCAGGAGTCACTGCTGGTCCCTCCCTGTCTCTCCTTCTTGTCATGCAGCGAATCCTGTCAGCTCTGTGGCCATTGTGTATTTTGAACCTCCCTGCACGTTTCCAAGTCCCCATCCTCTTGCACGTCCCTCTTACCGCTTCGACTCAGCTCTCCCTTCCTCAGAGAAACGTCGCTGCCAACTTGACCTACAGAGCCCCCCACACGCCTCTCCCTGTGACACCTCTGCCGTCACTGAGTATTGCCTTCTTTTCACGGGTCACGTTCTGCAGTGATTTTATTTACAATACTATCTTCTTGCCGAATGTCTTTAACCCCCACTGGATTGTAAGCTCGGTGAAGTCAGGGGCCGTTTCTGACAGGCACCTACTAGGCACCCACTATGTGCTTGTTGGTTAGATGCATAAGTGAGGGAACGAATGAGTGAAATGATGTGCGGAGCAGCCAACTCTGGGTTCTGGGCTCTGGGCCCGTGGATTTGGGAGGAGAGGGGGCGGCTTTGGTCACCAGGCCTGGATGGACAGTGGAAATACATTTTTTTCCTCACTTTGTTTCCCCTAAACCTCAAAATCTGGAAACCTCGGGGGAAAGGCCCCCTTTCCTCAGACCCAAGCCCTGGGCACGCATGGAGCCCAGTACCCTCCTGCCGGGCAGGCAATGGCCTTACCTGCTACGCAGAGGCAGACCGGCAGCCCCGGCGCCAGCATGGCTGCAGCACAGGACAGGTGGCTGGCAGAAAGGCTCCTAACCTCTGGCAGAGGCTACACCTGGTTTTCTGGTCCTTCCTTGTTCTCCATTCTCCTCCTTTTTCCTACTCAAACTGACAAGATTTTACTAAATCAATACTTGTTCAGTGCCCACTGCATGCCAGCCGCAGTGTGAGGTGCTGGGGTGCAGCCAGAATAAAGCAGAAAAGATCTCTGTCCTCCTGCAAGTTACAGGGAAGGCAGCAGGGGTCAGGCCGCAGAGGAGCAGAGATGGGCGGGGAGCCCAGGCCTGGGGCTGGCTGCTGGGGGTGCAGGGAGCAGAGCGGCCCAGGACGGGCTGGGTTAGGTCCCAGGAGCTCAAGGAGCAGGAGTGGAAGGAGAGAAAAGGGTGACTGGGGCTGGAGAAGGACCTGGCATGTGCAGGCCAAGCTTCGCGGGACTCTCCTCCCTGCCCACCACGCCATCAGGAGAGGCCGTCCTGAACCCCCTCTGTAGGGGAGAAAGCTGTGGCTCAGAGAAGTGAAAAAACTTGCTCAAGATATGGTAGCAAGTAGCGGGGCAGCAATTCAAACTCAGGTCACTGGAAAACATAAGATGGGGCGGCGCCAGGCTCCCAACTAGCCCCCCTACACACACACACACACACACACACACACACACACACACACACACACACACACAC